ATGGATGATGACATATAAGTACATATAAGCCTTGTATGATTAAGTAATTTATAGTTTTGTTAAAAGAAAGGGGGGCATTTACTATATTTGTTTTTCACATGAATCATTCTGTCTTTTATCACATTTTGGGGGGTTAAGAAATAACAACGTCTTTTTTTCTTTATTTTCTTGGGTTTCAGTCCAAGTCTGACTGCAAAGTCCATCTTCTTTCTTACCCTATTACACTGCAGAGAAATAGAAAATATGAAACTGACTATGTAGTTGCATGTACTGGCATAAAACTGGTTATCATGTGTCCTTTTTCCTCTGTCTTTTCTTTTCCTTCCAGAATCCAGATTATCTTCAGTATTCTATCAATACAGCTCTCTGCAGTTTAAACTCAGTGGTACATAAAGAAGATGATGAACCCAAAATGATGGACACTGTATAATTTGGTTAAGACTGCTGAGGCCAAGGGTTATTTTGTTATAAGAAAGGAAGAACTTGGCTATTTTCTTGACACTTTTATGGGTGCTGCACTTTATTTTTGTTTGGTTTTTGATGGGAGGGGAAAAAAAGAGTACTGAAACGTTTTGTAATTTTTTTTAATGTGCTGCTAGGTTTTTTGTTTTTTTGTTTTTTTCTGAAGAGAGGAGTGGTACCATATGTTGCAGGAAGTCAAACTGGACTCTTTTTTGGGCTACTAAATTTGCCTTTAATCTTACTGTTCTCAATTTTGGAATCAAAGTATGAAAATCTGCACAAATGCAATGTTTACAAGAACTGCTTGATTCTGGGAGGCATCTGCTACAGTCTCTTTTTATATAGATATGTACATGTCCTACTCTACAAAAATGATTAAAGATAAAAATGTACTTGTATCCCACTGCTAATTTAGCTGTCAAATCTGGTGTTTCATTATATTAAAAGCAATAAATCAGTAGTTGGTAATCTACTTTTCTAAATAACCTGAATGGTACAAATTTTAAAAATTCTTTCCACTTAAAATACTAACATTTGTATTTCCGGCACCATCAGTTAATCCTTGACTATAATACAAATTTGATATAAAGCATTACATATACCCCCAAAATATTCTAAAAACTATATTCCTTAGAAGTTTATTTTATCCTGTTGACTTTTTATTTAAGGGTTATAGTGATATAAAAAGTGATGAGCTAATAAAGATTTTCTTTTTAAATAAGATTAATTCCAAACTCATTTTTAATTTCTTTACTTGACATTGTCTGGGATCTCTCAGGGAATAAATTTTAAAAGAATATGAATGGCCTGTAAGAACAAACAAGAATAATAATCTGATTTTTAAAAGTCATTGTTATTGTTTGTTTCACTTTGATGTAGCTTTTAAGAAAGGACTCTTAAAAAAGGACTTTTTAAAAGGCAAGAGAAATTTTGTAGTGCTGCCTTGAGCTGCCATTACTTACTAAGAATTTGAGGCTAGGCAGAGTGGCTCACACCTGTAATCCCAGCACTTTGGGAGTCTGAGTCAGGAGTTTGAGATCAGCTTAAGCAACACAGCAAGACTCTGTCTCTACAAAAAAAAATTTTTTTTTTAAATTAGGCCAAAAAATGCCCCTAAACTATGTCATCTGCCTCTTTACAGGAAAAAATTTTTGATGACCCTTACAAGTAATGATAGCATTTACTGGTCTGTCATTCCTCTCCTTAGCTCATTTACCACAGAATGAGCTTTACTACTTCCTATATAAGTGACTTCAAATACATCAGGATTTTTGATGATTCATTTTATTTAGGTAACAATGCTAATTATGCTATCCTTATTATTCAAGGATTAATCTTCTGACCTTCAGAAATACGAGTTTTAAGTGTAGACTTTGGCTCATTACCCATTGAGAACAGTGGCAAACATTTGGAAGATAACTAACAAGGATTGGGAATATCATGTCTCAACTTAAGAAACCAAATAGTGTTAAGGGACCCTTATGATGATCAGACCTGTGACCTCTTTTGTAATTTGTTTTAACTGAGGTGATCAGGCACTTAGTACCCATAGAAATGGACTGGAATTATTGAATTATACTTATGTAATATCACAATCTTCCTGGTTTTCAGAATATTTTGTGCTTTTGATATAAATACTCTATAATAAAATGTTTAATTTATATGGTAGTATTCATCAGCCTGTATTTTTTTTTAACCAATGACCTAGTCATATAAGTTTTTTTCTTTTTCTCTTCTGTTCTGAAGCAAACTCTTTGTTTTCCCCTTCCTACCAAATCAAGAGACAAGCAAAATCCCTGGTTTCACAGAAATGTTACACAAATCATTATTTTCCATTCCTTCCTGTGATTTGCCTGTAAGTATCCAAATTGTTTTGTGTTTCATTTTGACTTTAAGGTATTAATGACTGAAGACTAGTGGGACAGAACAAACTGAGTAAACTATGCCTGAAGACTTTGTTTTCTAAAATAGGAATTATTGAAGAGCTGTTCTTTGAAATTTGAGAGTGCATGTGTGTGTGTGTATACATACATACATATATATTTTGAGTTTTTTTTTTTTTTAACTTTGAAAGGGAAGTGTTCTGAGTTTTGAGTGTAAAAGTGTGACTGGATGTATTTTGGGAACTGCTGATGCCATAATTATCAAAGACTAACTTTTACAGAGTAATACACTAATACTAGAAACAGTAAATTGACATTTTTTATTTTTATTTTGTTTTAGTATGAAGAACTCCTTTCAAATTGGAATGTCCTGTTTTCTGTTTCTTAAGAAATAATGAAGAATATACTAAACAGGATAATATTTCAATTTTCTCTAAACAAGATAAACCAAGGAAGGTCCATGTAGATGAATAAAACATCTTTGACCTGAAAATATCCATCAGAGATTCTCATTTCATTTGATAAAATTTATTCTCTGTTACTTCCATGTCTTTACATCAATGTTAGGGGAGATACTACTGATTTAAAATTATTACTCTAAGATAACAGTCTTTTCTAATTATACTATTACTAGGCTCTTTCAAATCTTGTCTAATGAGTTCACAATCTCCTGTAACTTCTCTTCAGGAAAATGAGGCCCTCTTCTTTCAGACTGCTATTCATATGCTGCCCAAAGAACATGAATCTGTTTTAGTAAGTGGATTTTCTTACAAGATGAAAAAATTGATTGTAGGTACACGGAAGGTGATACTAAAGTTAACCTTGGGGTATTTTTAGAGAAGAATAAAAATGTCAATTTACTGTTCTCACAGTCAATCATGTATTTCAGTTCTTAGATTGAGTGTGGGACAGAAATGGTACTTGTCTGGGTTAAGGTTAGGCTTTCCATTTCAATTTTGCCACTATATCATACATACTTTAACAAGACCCTTAAATCCTTGGCATCCATTTCCCATTTATAAATGGACATGTATGTACTATATCATAGGTCTGAGAAGCTGATTCATTTAAGAAGTATTTGCTTGCTTACTACATAAGCTAATGGAGTGGGAGGCACAAGAATATAATTTGATTATGGATTGCTTACCATCTCATAAGCCTTGAATAATTAGACTTGAATTTTGTTCTTTTCTAAATATAGAACATGGTTTTTTAAATTCCCACATCTTTCACTTAGTGTCTTTAAACAGCATGATTCTTCATGCTATTTACACTTCAATGCCTTTGGGAAAATATGACAACACTAGACTGAGTTACACTTTGATATGACAACTTACCTTTACTTAGTGCTAGATATGGAAAAACCCATGATCATTAGTGAACTAAAAAAATGCAGAAGAGAGTAAAGACTCATAGAGCACACTGGGTTTTACCAGAAGCCTAAGCACAACTAGACCATTTTACCTGTGTTTTTAAAGCTTTAAACTATAACTTACAAGATGAAAATCATTAATTGCAAAGACAAGAAAGCTATTTCCATAGTTCATCAGTGTCTGAGGATATTTTTATCAGTGAGAAGACAACTTAATGACAAGGTCTTGCTCTGTTTCTTAGACTGGGGTGTAATAGTGTGATCATAGCTCAATGCAGCCTCAAATGCCTTGGTTCTAATAAATCAATATTTTGCCTCAGCCTCCCAAGTATCTGGGACTACAGGTGTAGGCCACAATCCCAGGCTTTTTTTTTTTTTTTCAAAGAACTGGGGTCTCACTGTGTTCCCCAGGCTGGTACTTGAACTGGGCTCAGGAGATTCTCCCATCTTAGCCTCCCAAAGTGTTGGGATTACAGGTGTCAGCCACCATGCCTGGCTGTATAAACTATGTTTTAAAATACAAATTTATTCTTGCTGTTGGCTGTAAGTCTTACAACAGTTTAGTAAATTTGAAGGTTATGATTACAATGATGTGTTCTTAGTACAGGGCAGCTTTGTCACAACGGTGAGGGTCCAAAATGTTTTGCTAGAATGCCATTATATATAGCAGGGGGAGGCGGGGGGGAAGTAGGCACAGGCTGAGGTTTAGAAATTTAACCTATTTCTAATGGAATTGAGAGCTGAAATAAAGTTTCTGGATGGTGCTAACAACTGCCAATTTGCATTTCCCACAGTACCCACTGCTCACAAAAAGTATACCAAAGTAACCATTCCTCCAGAAAATAAGGGTAATGGGTGATGTACTGTTCTCATTAGCCTTTAACTAAAGCATAGTAGATTTTCTTAGCCATGACATTCAGCTCCAGACATATTTCCATGTGGCCTATAAATCATCATCTTGGTCATGACAGCATTATGGGCTTTTGTTTTTGTTTTGTTTTGTTTTTTTGAGATGAGTCTCACTCTGTCACCTAGGCTAGAGTGCCATGGAGTTAGCCTAGCTCACAGCAACCTAAAACTTCTGGGCTCAAGGAATCCTCCTACGTCAGCCTCCCAAGTGGGACTACAGGTGCCTACCATACTACCTAATTTTTCTATTTTCAGTACATGTTTTTCTACCTCTCTTTGATTTCTAGATCTGCTAAGGGTAACTATGAAGGCAAGTAAGGTTTACAGTACTGTAGCAAGAGACAAAGTATTGTGTAAAATGAAACCAGCCTATGTAATGTTTTAAGACAATTTATTAGAACATAGTCCCTCATTCAGAAGCCAATGAAACGTTAAGACAGCAGAAAGGAAGGTGGGATGAGTAGGCCCGATGAGGCACCAAAGAGAAAGTAATAGCCTCAGTTATGAAATTCCATTTTATTCTAATAAAGACTAACATATGCCTGGTAGTCTAGTGATAATTCGTAAGTTAACTATTCACAGTAATTCTAGAAACACATATTAACATTCAAATAAGGCATTATAGAACAACGAAATGTTTACTGTAATCCTTTTTAAAAACTCTTGGTCTGTTTTGAAAGATGAACAGTGAATTTTGGAAAATCAAAAGAGAAGGAAAATAAGCTTTTCCCCCCCAGGATACATAAGAATTACTTGCTGGCATTTGTGTGTGCCTGGAATAAAATGGCCCAAAATTTCAAAGGCAGTTAAGAACAGCATGTACAAGGGCTTGTTTCATTTGATTTAGCACCAAGCAAGAGTAAATATACCATGGAAGACAGGTGTTTCTTCCATCTCTCACACTGCCCCACTTCTCCTCCAGGTCACAATACGTGAGCATGCATCCTTGTTGCCCTACTAAGGAATCAAAAATGATTCAGACTGGTAAATGGCTGCTCATGAAACACTTGGCAGCAGAGTTCTTTCCCCATTAGACAGGGTAACAGTAAAAGCTAGCAGATACCAATTTCTCTGGGAATAAAAAATTCCTTCAGGAAACTCCGTTACTCTCCTGGTCCTTGTTAACCTAGCATGTAAATTTTTTTCTACTGCTACACTTGTTTACTAATTATGATTGCTGTTTATGCCAAAGGAATATTTTCTCCAAGCATGCTTGACCTCTTTCTGTTTCCTAATGAAAAATAAGCTTAGTTTACATACTGCCTTGGGTTTTCTCTTCCTTCTTTCCTTTCCTTCCTTTCTGCTTTTTTGGTATTACAACTTGTTTTTATCAAGGCGAACATATGTTGTATCAAAAAGAGAAACTGACAGGTAGATCCTGAAACACATTTCTTAACCTAAGTAACATCTAAAAACAAGACTTTCATTACATTTTCTATTGAAAATTCATTCAACTTTGATGCTTACCCAAGGATTTGTAATGTTCATTTCTGACATAAATCATATCCCTCAATACATATGTATTTTTAAAAGGAAACAAGTCATCTTAAATATTTCCCTGTAGGCTACTTTATACATTTTTATAGCAAATTGAAATTCTGAGCTAACCAAAGGTATGTTTAACAACAAAATACAGCATGGCTAGCTTATACATTTCTTAGTGTAAAGGCAGCTGTGAATTTGTATCTTGGGACAGATCTGTAAAGCCAGGTGCTTTTTCTTCTAGAATTTTTTAGGTATGATATCTCATGAAACCATGTTCCACCATGCTCGAAATGTCTATTTTTGCACCAGTCTATGCAAAAACCTTTGAAGAACACTTTTCCCCAAATGACAATTTTTTAAACTTTTCCAGAAAAGTATGGAAATTTTATCAACCATTTATTCTTACTAAACGAAAGGTTATATTACTACCAGTTGCTCTTTTAATTTTGTTCTAACAGATTGTTATAAAAGTATCGACATCTCTGATATTTTTGAATTGCACACTCATAGAAGGTAATTGGATAGAAAACACTAGATGATTTTAAAAAATGTATCTTAGTATCTACTTCATTTGGCACATTATTAGTATCTAGAATAAAATGAGTAGAAATCAAAATGATACAATTTTCAAAGAATTCAGACAAGCTGGAGTTGTAAGAAAAGGAACTTCTAAATGCAAAGACAAAGAGATTTTGCCCATCTTACTAGTTACATGCATTTTTCCTCATGGAGTAACTGAGGCTTTCTGGTTTGTTTGTGGAACTTTAGTTTGTAGGAAAGCATATACGTGGGGCCAGATCTTGTCAGTTTCTGTTCCGGAGAATGTTTCCAACACTCCTTTTTTCCTAAAGATGGAAAACAAACAAAATACATGTCTGAATCTTCCTAATGAGATTTTTAAAGCTTTTCTGTAAATAATAATAATACAGATTTAGCAGTCTTGCTAAGTATAGAACTGTGTGATAAGATAGAAAGGCACTTGGCTAGGTACTAGAAAACCTAGATTTTAGTTTCATTTGTGCCCTCTGATTTACAGGATTGGGACTTTTTTAAAAATAGCACCTATCATTTATTGAGCTTTAGTATATGTAAGGCTTATATATACTAGTTCATTTAATCCTTTCCAAAGCTCAAAGTTTCTTATTTTACTAATAAAATTGTCTCTTTTGTAAAATAACTGAGTTTTAAGTCACCACGTTGGTGTTAGGTTTCCAGACAGCCTGTCAGATACAGAACATCCCTTGGCTTTCTTTCTCTACTTATCCCTTGCAGAAATGTCTTTCTAAAACACGGTTATCCTTCCTTTTTTTCTAGGTTTATTTTTTACTCTATTCTTCCCTTCTGAATTTTATTAGGAAGGAGAATTAAAAGTATGGGTTTTGTTTTTTGTATATGAGGTTTTCCATTTCTTCCCAGGCAGATTTGGTCTGGCTTGTCACCAGACCAGCAGCCAAAGTCTATTTTATTTACTCCAGTTTCCCGTGGGTAATATGGTTGGGGTGGCTTTTCAAATCACACAATCCCTCCAGCAATTCTGGCATTCCTCCTAATCTCCCTCCTCCAACCCATGCACACACCTACACATGTACACACTAGTTAAAGGTTATCTAAGAGCAACCAAAGAATTCTAGTTTATTATTTTCCCAAAACAGGATCAGTCACACCGCCATAACCCTACTTACTGGGTTTCAGAGGTTTCATCCCCTTCTTGATACCTCATAAAATTTGCCACAGTTAAATAATACCTACTGTTTGTTTAAAAAAAAAAAAAAAAGCATCTGCTAAGGAGAGAACTTAGGCAAATACATTATTCTTTGGATCTTAGAAGCCCTCTTGCTTCTAGATCCACAGGCATTCAGTCAAGCTTTCAAGTGAACAAACTTCCTTTTTGTGTGTGTTGTGTTTTTTTGTTTGTTTGTTTGGTTTTTTTTATTTTTTGCAGTTTTGGCCGGGCTTGGGTTTGAACCCGCCACCTCCGGCATATGGGGCCAGCGCCCTACTCCTTTGAGCTACAGGCGCCGCCCTGTTTTTTTTTTGAGATAGAGTCTTACTATGTCGTCCTCGGTAGAGTGCTGTGGCATCACAGCTCATAGCAACCTCAAATTCTTGGGCTTAAGTGATTCTCTTGCATCAGCCTCCCAAGTAGTTGGGACCACAGGTGCCCACCAGAACGCCCAGCTATTTTTCTGTTGCAGTTGTCATTGTTGCTTAGCTGTCCCAGGCTAGGTTCAAACCCAACAGCCTCACTGTATGTGGCTGGTGCCATAACCACTGTGCTACTGGTGCCAAGCCAAACAAGCTTCTTAACTGTTGTGAGCTTTCTGAAGAGCTCTTTTAAGTCAAGCCAGTGTCATAAGTAGGGTAACTACTGAGGGCACAACTGCAGGCACCTATTCCATCCTCAAACTATACATTTAGGATGAACATTTGTCTTTTTTTTTTTTTTGAGACAGAGTCTCACTTTGTTGTCTTGAGTAGAGTAGCAGAGTGTCGTGGCATCACAGCTCAAACTCTTAGGCTCAACTGATCCTCCTGTCTCAGCCTCCTGAATAGGGACTAAAGGCACCTGCCAGAACGCCTGGATAGTTTTTCTATTTTTAGTAGATACAGGGTCTCACTCTTGCTCAAGCTGGTCTGGAACTTCTAAGTTCAAGCAGTCCACCAGCCTTGGCCTCCCACAGTAGCTAGAATTATAGGTGTGAGCCACCATGCCTGGCCAGCATTTGTCATTTTAATTTCTGTGTAATAAAATGGGACCACTTCAACAAACGGTCCTCTGAAGAGTAAGAGTATGATGTTGTTTATAAATAGGTATGTGTAAATGGCCCCCAGCTGAGATGAGTTTTAAAAAAACAACAATTACCACTGTTGGCATTTTTTTTGTTTAGAGCCTCAAGCTGTCCCCCTGGGTAGAGTGCTGTGGCATCACAGCTCACAGCAACCTCCAACTCCTGGGCTCAAGCAAGTCTCCTGCCTCTGCCTCCCAAGTAGCTGGGACCACAGGCGCCCACCAAAATGCCTGGCTATTTTTTGGTTGCAGCCATCATTGTTGTTTTTTGGCAGGCCCACGTTGGATTTGAACCTGCCACCTTAGGTGTATGTGGCTGGCGCCTTAGCCACTTGAGCCATAGATGTCGAGCCACTGTTGGCATTTTTAAATAATGCTGACTACTACTAAAATTCTTGCAAATACCACTTTAAATTTTTAGTTAAGTCCAGCCCCAGTTCTATGTGTGAGAACTTAGAAGGAAAACTCCAATTAGCAAAAGCCAGAAGAAGCCTTAAAAGACTTGTAAATAGGAACCCGAGTCATTCACCCCATGTCTGTGGCCTTCTCCAACTTCCCTTCCATATGGTGACAGCCCTGGTACTCCCACTGTCTTCAGGGATTATCTCTTGCAGTGGCCTTATGTGCCCAGTTACAATGTGTTCTCCCTTCTGGTTACTTTCAGGAAACACCCTTTCTGTCAAACTCAGTCCATGATGTTCGGGTGAGATTGCCCCATTCTCCCTCTTCAAGAATAGATGTGATCAGAGCTAATCCGTGCTAAACCCAGGACTTCTCCTGACAAAAGAGGCTCTTTTCTGCTGAGATGTCTGAACCAGTAGAAGGTGAGCTGGAGTGTTCAAGAGCTGCCACACAGGGAGAGGCCCCCAGACTGAAGCCAACACCAGACAATGGAGCTGAGTGATTGAGTCTTGATAACACCTTTCAAATACCTGTACCTAGTCCCCTACCTGTGTACTTTTTAGTTACAGGACCAATAAATTCCCCTTTTGCTTAAGCTAGTGTGAATTACGTTCCTGATTTTTTTAGTTTTTTGAGACAGTTTCACTATGTCGCCCTCAGAAGAGTGCTGTGGCATCACAGCTCACAGCAACCTCAAACTCTTGGGCTAAAGTGATTCTCTGGCCTCAGCCTCCCAAGTAGCTAGGACTATAGGCACCCACAGCTATTTTTTTGTTATTGCTGTCATCATTGTTTAGCAGGTCCTGGCCAGGTTTGAGCCCACTAGCTCCAGTGCATGTAGCTGGCACCCTAACCACTTAGCTACAAGCGCCAAGCCTAGGTTCCTGATTAATATAAGCACATATTACATTGTAAGATAAATACCATTTACCTAGCTCTCTGCCTGACCCACATATAGAAGGTGGGTTTCTTGGGGCCTGACAGGGACTGAGTCTAATTTTGTGAACCAAAGACTAATACAGTGTCAGCAAGTAAATAATAATCACTGTAATGGACGCCAGGGCTATTTTAAGTCTTTCCATGGATCCTCTCACATTATTAGTTCTCTTAACAACACTATAAAGTAGGTACTATTTAATGTGGTCTGATATTACAAATAAGGAATTGGTGGCATAGAGGTTAAATACCTTGCCCAGGGTCACAGAGCTGGAAATCTGAAGAGCCAGGATTATTATACAATTCACAAAATTACAATAACAGCGACTATAAAAAGTGAACTGCTAACTCCCTTGTAATTTCACCATCCTGAAGTAACTATTAAAACAGTTTGGAGACTATTGCTTCAGATTTTTATTGCATACTTACTCTATTACAACAATAATAATAGCTAACATTTATGCAGTGTTTAGTATGTGTCAGGCACAATTCTAAGAGCACAATTTTGCTAAGTGAAGCTTTTCCATCTAAGTTCCCACAGGCTGGACTTAAAAAATTGTCAGTGGTATTTGCAAGGACCTTAGTAGTAATCGGCATTGTTATTTAAAAATGCCAACTGTTATAACTGGTTTTTAGAACTCTTCTCAGCTGTGGGACATTTCTGTGTCTATGTGTACAAACAACATATATTAACTTAATCTTTCAACCCTCTATTCTCACCCTAAATTTATAGAGGAGAAAACAGGTAGAGGTTAACCAAGAGGGGAAGACAAAGTTAATTAAATGGCAAGCTGGGACTTGAACTTTGGCATTCTCACTCCAGAGTCTGTGCTTTACCCACAAATGTAATGCCTTGACAATGAATCATGCACTAAGCGATCAATGAAAGGGCAAGTGATCAACCTCTCTGTAAGGAGAGGGAAAGGCTGAGTAAGAAAACTGGACTATTCCTTAGCCTGAGTCAAATATTAACTCACTATAGTTCCCATATTTTTTGTGTAGTATGAACTCCCTGAAGAACAGAGAAGACAATATCAGAATGTAGGCTTTTAAAGCCTACCAGTAAATGATCTGAGGGATTAGTTGCCATTTGAGAGTCTTCTGTGCTATAGCATCCTTTTCTGCTGGCAGAGGTAGTGGGCATTATCAGGTTTGCCTCACCAACATTCACTCCAGCCCTCCCTGTACTACAGATGATCCCTAATTTATGATGATTCAACTTAGGATTTTTTCACGTGGTGTGAAAGCAATATGCATTCAATAGAAATTGTACTTTGAGTAGCTGTACAAGCATTCTTTCCACTTTCAGTATTCAATAAATTTCATGACATTTTCAACACTACATAATAAAACAGGCTTTGTGCTAGACGATTCTGCCCAAATCAATGTTAATGTATGTGTTCTGAGCACATTTAAGGTAGGTTAGGCGAAGCTGTGATGTTTGGCACTCTCACAATAGGTTTATCAGGATGTATTCAGTTGTAAACTGAGGAGCTTCTGTGCATAGCAGAGTGTGGGTGAGACTGACCCACCCCCAGTGCTAGGTGTGGACTAGTCAGTGTAATCAGTGTAAATCCTTCCCACCTGAGCAACTGGTTCAGGAATGGGCAGTAACCCAAGCCTAGAACAGTGCCAGGCATTCTCTGACTACAGTGACTGTTTAAACTGACTCAATCTGAATGTTGCTCAAGGCTTGTATTCACTGGAGGAGACCCTTAGCTCTTCATGAAGGAGGGTCTGTTCCTGCTGATGTCTGTGACCATGCAGCAGAGGACAAGGCCAAAACACAAAGCCAACAGAATGGCAAAACTCAGAAGGAGTGACAGAAGCCCAGCCTACCTTGTGGACTTAAGTTACACAGCTAATAAATTTCCTTTATTGCTTAAGCCAATTTGAATTGGGTCTTCTTTTATGTTAGCATTTCAGCTGTAAAGTATGGGAATCAACAAGTGACCTAGTGCTTTATGCAAGAGAAGTTCTGAAAAGCAGAAACTCACTGGTAATACTCCAGGACTGGCTTCGTTTGGGCTTCATAGGCCTTCAATCTCTTGATGACCGTCTCTGGTCGATCATCCTCACGCTGAATGAGAGGCTCCCCCGTCACATCATCAATACCCTAATAGGAATTAGAAGAGACTGGTATCAAGTACATTATTATTGAAGGATATTTTTGTAAGCAGTTCTATTATTTTTAAACAGACATCTCTGTGCAAGTGACAAGCAACAACAAAAATGTGCTAACTTTTAATAAAGTAAATGGAATCCAACCTAAAGACAGATCAGTGCAGCATAGAGCCAGGACATTTCCACCATTATCAGTCACCTTCTCTTTACATTAGAAAGTTTTTTAAGTAGATGCTAAGTAACTGCATGTACAGAGGATGCCAAAAAAAATGTATACACATTTTAAAAAAGGAAAAAACTATATTAAAATTATAATAATATATACCAGTGACAACAGATGAATATAAGTCACATTGAGCACCTCTTGTAATTGCTGAAGGCAAATGTGACTTGAATTTACAAATTTAATACAGTTTTTTCCTTTCTTAAAATGTGTATACATTTTGGGCACCATCCGTATATACAAAAAGATTCAGCTATGGACTGGGAATCTCAACTACAAGGCCTAAATAAACCAAGCTGTTATGAACGTCTGTCACCCCAATTTTTGGCACAGAGTAGGAAATCACTGAATGCTTCTGAATGAATAACAATCCCCTGCTGCTCCTGGGGCACCTATACCAGCAAAATAAGTCACTATATCAAGTAATTTGAGAATATACCCCAAGGAGTTTTGGTCAGACAGGGGATTTCCAAATACACAAAACTTTAACGGATGCCAGGGTAGTCTGCTACATGTCAGTCCCATAACTACTCACCACGGTTTTGGGAGGGTTGAATTCAATGTTGTAGACTCGGCCGCTAGCTGGATGAATCCAGCGAGCAGTGAGGCGCTGTTTGATGACATCAAAGGGCACGTCCAGATTAATCACCGTGTCTATCTGATAAGCTCTATCTAGGGCTTCTGCCTGTGTAAGTGTCCTTGGAAAACCTTTATAAAGTAAAGAAAAAAAAGAAAAGGAAGCAAGGAAGGAGAGAGAAAGGAGAAAGAAAATTAATGTGCAACCTGAACAAAAGGAATAACGCTACTGTGCAACGGTGATTATGTGTCAATTTGACTGGGCCATGAGGTGCCCAGTTATTTACTCAAACATTATTCTGGGTGTATCTGTCAAGGTGTTTTTGTGAGAAATTAACATTTAAACAGACAGACCTGAGGAAAGCATTTTGCCTTCCCTAATGTGGGTAGGCTTCATTTAGTACTTTTAAGGCCCCAAATAAGAGTGAATTCCTCCTATCTTCTACCTTTTTTCCTGACTTTAGACTAAATCATCAACTTTACTCAAACTTAAGAGGCTATTTTTGGAATATGACAAAATGATATTAAAGCTAAAAAAAATTATTAATGCAAAGAAATAAACCCTAACACATAAACAAATGTATTATATAGCTTAAAAATATGGTTCAAAAATTAAGAGACAGGCAAATGTAACTGATGAGTGAATCCAGAAATACACCCACATATATTAGGGAATTTAAAATTATAATATTTTGATCCTCAATTTTTAACTTTATAATAAGGACAATATTAAGGACATTTCATTCATAACACCAGGAAAAATTGATGTACATTTGAAATACATTTTTCAAAAGTGACAAAGTAAGGCCAGGCATGGTGGCTTGTGCCTGTAATACTAGAACTCTGGAAGGCTGAGGAGGGAGGATTGCTTGAGCTCAGGAGTTCAAGAACAGCCTGAGCAAGAGTGAGACGCCATCTCTACTAAAAATAGAAAAACTAGCCAGGCGTTGTGGTGGGTGCCTGTAGTCCCAGCTACTTGGGAGACTTGAATCCAGTAGTTCTGAGGTTGCTGTGAGCTAGGACATTGCTGCATTGTAGCCTGGGCAACAGAGTGAGACTCTGTCTCAAAGGAAAAAACAGCAATTACTTTAGAGTTTTTCTTTTCCTTCCTTTCTTTCCTTCTTTCCTTTCCTCCTTCCCCTCTTCTCTCTTTCTCTCTCATACTGTATTCCTTAGGTATTGATGCCAAAGAAAAACATGTTTAGTACAGATGCAACTATCCATTTTTTCCCCAAATATTTTCTATGCAAAGTTGGTTGAATGCACAGATGTGGAATCCCCCAATGCAGAATTCATGGTTCTAGCAGACCAACTACCGTAGAAGCTCCATAGTTGATTAGCTCCCTATGTTGACCACCTCCTTAAATTACCTATTTTCATAGACCTGACATGCACCGCAGGTATGTATCAGTACAGTAGGCCTAGTTCTTTATGTTGACCAGTTTGTTACAGTCCCTCAGGTGGTCAACTTACAGAGGTTCTACTGTATATAAGAATATTCCTTGTAGTAACATTTAGAACAGTGAAAACATGGATGTAACCCAGATGCTCCTCAGCAGGAGATTAAATTGTGATACAGACAGTATGTGTGCTTGCTTCAGCAACACATATACAGACACAATATGCGAGCCTTTGCATCTTTTATTTCAGTGAGGCAAATCTGTTAAATATAGATGTATACAACGAAGACGCAAAATGCAAACAGTGGTATATGTATGTATGTGTGCATGTGTATGTTATATAAAGAAAAAACATAATATTGGATTCTACTGGGTAAAGGGAGCCATAACCTTAACTCACATCTTATACAAAATAAATTTGGCCAAGTTTCACATCCATGAATCTAAGCAAACTTGGATGGAAAATGTTCAGAAAATATACATAACAATACAATACAACAATAAAAAATAATACAAATTTTAAAATACAGTATAACAACTATTTATCTGTGGGTTTTGGTATCTGAGGGAATCAATCCCCCTGAGGATACTAAGGACAATTGTACTTTTATGGTTACATATGTATACTGACATATTTTTTACCACTGTTAAAAAAGGCTATTTCAATTACATATCAAGCAATTAAAAGTAATTGTTCCTGAGAGATATGACCATTGAGGACTTTGAATCTCTGTGATACATTTACATCCTTTTTAATTTTTAGAAGAGCAATAGAACAATGACAAAAAAAACCCTCAAAAACAATAAATGTTCCACATTCCAGGCTCTTCTGATCCAGATCTTTGGCCTATTCCTCCTTTGCCTCCAGGCTGGTCCCATGGATGGCTTTCCACATTCCTGTGCGGGCAGCATCTCACTCTGCCTTTGATAACTAGGTGCCCTGTAGCCTAAAATGATTGGTTCCTCCACCCACATAATTCTATTCATTCCTCAAGACCTCCCACAAATGAAGTGTTTCTCACCCCTTTCTCTCCCATGTAAAAGCAAGATTTTTCATTTAACTTTGTCAAATAAAGTTTTGAATTCTGAACCATGCAACTGTATTTTCTATAAAAATGAAGAAAGAAAATAAAAAAAAATACCTACTTCACCACATTACTCTGTATTCACACCAACTTTTAACATACTTCATAGCAGTCATTAGTACCTGTACTTATCCAAATTTTTGTTCGTTTACTACTTGTCTCCTAGTAGAATGTACATTCCACGAGAGCAAGGACTTTAGAACCTTCTTTGATTAGGGATGTAACATGGCTGCAGGGCTTGGTGAGGGCAGCACAGAGAGAGCACATGTGAGACGAGAGAATGGGGTTGAGTAAGAGAAGATGTGTAACTAGCACTCTATACCCGCTTCTCTATGCACAGCTTCTCAAAAAGAATATTATGACTCAGATCTTCTTGAAAGAAAGGCTTATAAATTTTATAAAACAAATCTCTTTCGTGTCCTTTCTATTTTAAAACTAAAATCACTCTGTCCTCAAGGATTCTGCCATACCTCTGGCTAGGGAAAGTTGACAGTTTACTGCAAGTTTACTTTACTGCATCACCTTCCTTCTTTTCAGGTGATCTTCCTTCATTATAAAATATTCTCAAAGGAGGCCAGAGGGAAGAAGAAACTATTAAAGTTACAGCTGAAGGGAGCAGAGAAATCATACCGTCCACTGTTCACTTCCCTTTTTCCTTTCAGATAAAGAACCAGTGGTAGAGAAGATGACTGGCCCAAGTCCTCAGGGTAGTGAGGGGCAGAATTCAGGGCCTCCCCACCCAAGCACCCATCCCTCATGTCTGTGTGAAGCCCATGAAACACTCATTATCCTGCCAGCACTCATAATTTTAGGCAGCTGAAATGATCACGACACTTTACTTACCATCCAACAGCCAGCTATACTGGGTGAGATTTTTCAGTTCATGAAGAGCCAGCCGAGTCATGACATCATCTGGGATGAGTTTCCCTTGGTCAATGAAAGCCTTGGCTAACACCCCAATTTCTGCAGCAGAGAGGGGAGAAATCAGTAGGTGCCTTTGTTTTATCCCACTCTTGGCCCCTAAGAACTGGCTTCCTAAGGGAGACCTCTGGATGACACACCCACATCAAAGGGCACAACCAACTTTTCTGATAAAAACAGAGGTTACAAAACAACCTAAGCCTACTTCAAAGTCTTCATTATGAAAAAATATATAAATATACAATACAGAGAAAAATAATAATTTGAAGCAGCAGACCAATATATTAACAGTAGTCATCTCTGTGTGATAGAATTTAGTGTTTTTTTTACAAATTCGCATTTTTCTGTATTTTCTAAATTTTCTATCTGAAAAAATATATGAAATCACTGAAGTTTTTTTTAAAATAAAAATTTGAAATAGTCATTATTTTGAAGAGATTCCATTTAAGTGCCTGTTCTTATATGTTACTATACATATTTTTCCAATCCTGTAAAACAGGTGCTGCTGCTGTCATAATACAATTCAATTTTGACCAGATTATATTACATTTTTATTAAGAAAACACCCTGTAAAAGGATTTATGAACACTTTCAAAATATCACGTACAACTATGTACCATCCTTATGCAAGAGTATTTTAATTTCCTCCTGTTCCCTTACAAAACTACATACATTCAGAGTTTTTATACTATTGAAATCTGTGCACATCCAATTGTAAGTTCTTTTTTTTCACTTTTAAGCATTATTTTTTAAATACTTTTCTGTGATTTTATACAGTATATTTTGGTTACCATATTATACTCCATCAATAAATAAAATAAATATATAAAATAAAATCTATATTATCATAGCAGTACTGTTGGACATTTAAATTATGTAAATTAGTCTTGGCTTTTTCTTACTAACATTGATGATTTTAAAGATCTTAACACCTTTTATTTTTTTTCTTTCTTTCTTTTTTTGCTTTTCTGAATTATTTCCAATGGATAAATTCCCAGAAATCAGATCAAAGGGTCATGGAATATATAAACACTTTCATAACTTTCGGTATGAACATTTACCTCAAAAACAGAATCTAAATTGTCAAATTCATGCAATTTCAGACTTTAACCAAGAACATTACCCACATGAAGCTTTTGCCATTTGACAGATATAATGCTAGACTTACAAACTGCATTTGGAAAAGGGCCTGGGTTCTGAGGGAGAGCTTTCAGGGATCACTAACCTAGACTGTTGGAAAGGTCCATCTACTTATCATGTGACCTCTCTGTCCCTAGGCTTTTGACTGCTCTGCTGTGGAGGCAGAGCTCCAGCCTCAATAGCATTTGGAGAAAACTGTAAAAACTTGCAATTCTCCAGGGCTGAGTCCTGAAAAAACTGGTATTAATCCCTTCCCTCAACTCTCACTCTTCAGGCCAAGACTTTTTCTAAACCCCCAACCAATTGCATACAACAAATGAATTCAGATGATGGGATTACTTAATAAAGTACCTAATTTTGTCTGTATATAAACAGATTTAAGAAAAGATGGTCTGCTCTTGCCACTTTTCTTCAATATCGTATTAGAGATACTCGCCAGGGAAATTAATCCAGAAAAATAAATAACTAGCATCTGGAAAGGAAGTAAAACTATCTCTATTTGCAGATGACATCTTGTACACAGAAAAATCCTAAAGAATCCACTAAAAAACTATTAGAACGAGTAAACGAGTCCATAAAGTTACAGGGTACAGGATCAATACACAAAAGTCTATTAACGAACAATCTGAAAATGAAACTCAGAAAACAATTCAATTTATAATCGCATAAAAATAAGAAAATTAGCAATACATTTTTTAAAAAGTACAAAACTTTTAATCTGAAAACTATAATATTGTTAAAAGAAATTAAAGAAGACCTAAAAAATGGGAAGGCATCTCATATTCATGGCTTTTAAGAGTTAATATTGTTAGAAGGGCAGTACTCTCTAAAAATTATCCAGAGTCAATGAGATTCTATGAAAATTCTAGCTGGTATCTTTGCAGAAAATTGACAAGCAGATCCTAAAATTCATATGCAAATTAAAGGGACCCAAAATAGTCAAAACAACCTTCAAAAAGAAGAACAAAGATGCTAAGACACACACTTCCAATTTCAAAATAGCAATCAAGACTGTGTGGTACCAGCATAGTAGATATAAAGATCAGTGGATTAGAATTGGAGTCCAGAAATAATCTCCCAAATTTCCTCTCAACTGATTTTCAACAAGGATGCCAAGATATATCAATGAGGGAAAAACAGTCTTTTCAACAAACGCTGCTAGGACGAATGAGTATACAGATGCAAAAGAATAAAGTTGGACCTCTTTCATTCTATATTAAAATTAACTCAATCATAGACCTAAATGTAAGAGCTAAAACTCTAAAGCTCGTAAAAGAAATCATAGGTGTAAATGTTCATGATTTTGCATTAGGCAATGGCTTTATAGATACAAAATTAAGAACACAGCCAAGAAAGGAAAAAGTATATAAATTAGATTTCATTAAAATTAAAAACCTTTGTGCTTCAAGGAACACCATAAAGAAAGTGAAAAGACAATCCATGGGATGGGAGAAAATTTATGTAAGTCATATATCTGATAAGGAACTTGTATCTAGACTATCTAAAAAACTCTTATAAGTTAACAATTAAAAAATAAAAATGTGCATGGGCTTTGAACACACATTTCTCCAAAGAAAATACATAAATGGTCAAAAAGCATATGAAAAAAATGCTCAACACCATTAACCATCAGGGAAAAGCAAATTAAAATCACACGGAGATATCATTTCATGCTTAATCAAAAAGACAGATATATGTATACCTCAGAGATAGTGTGGGTTTGGTTCCAGACCACCTAAATAAAGTGTATATGGCCATAAACTAAGTCACACAAATGTTTGGGGTTCCCAGGGTGTATAAAAGTTATCTTTACATTACACTGTAATCTATTAAGTGTGCAATAGCATTATGTTTAAAACAATGTGTATGCCTCAATTTCAAAATATTATATTCCTAAAAAATGCTAATCATCATCTGAGCCTTAAGCAAGCTGTTATCTTTTTGGTGGTAGAGTGTCTTGCTTGGATGTTCACTGCAGCTGTCTGATCAGAGTGGTGGTTGCTGAAGTCTGGGTCAGCTCTGGCAATTCCTTAAAATAAGTCAGCAGTGAAGTCTGCTGCACTGATGTACTCTTCCTTTCGCAAAAAGACTTCTCTGTAGCATTTGATGCTGTTTGAAAGCATTTTATCCACAATAGAACTTTTGAAATTAGAGTCCATCCTCTCAGTCTCTGCTACTGCTTCATCAACTAAGCTTATGTCAATATTCTAAATCAGTGGTTCTCAACCTTCCTAATGCCGTGACCCTTTAATACAGTTCCTCATGTTGTGGTGACCCCCAACCATAAAATTATTTTCGTTGCTACTTCATAACTGTAATTTTGCTACTGTTATGAATCATAATGTAAATATCTGATATGCAGGATGTATTTAGGCGACCCCTGTGAAAGGGTTGTTTGACCCTCAAAGGGGTTGCAACTCACAGGTTGAGAACTGCTGTTCTAAATCCTTTGTTGTCATTTCAAGGATGTTCACAGCATCTTCACCAGTCCATCTCAAGAAACCAATTTCTCTGTTCATCTATAAAAGCAATTCCTCATTCATTATAATTTTATCATGAAATTGTAGCAATTCAGGCAGATTCTCAAGCTCCACTCCTAATTTTATCTTGCTATTTCCATCACATCTGCAGTGAAGTCTTGAACCTCTCAAAGTCATCCATGAGGGTTGGAATCAACTTCTTCCAAACTCCTGTTAATACTGATATCTTGCTCTCCTCCCATGAATTGCAAATGTTTTTAATGGTACCTAGAATAGTGAATCCTTCCCGGAAGGTTTTCAATTGACTCTTCCCTGACACAACAGTGCAATTGTGGCACTGTTGGGTATGGCATCTATACCCTTACAAAATATATTTCTTAAATAGTATGACTTGAACACTTAAATTACTCCTTGCATGGGCTCAGAATGGGTGCTGTATTAGTGGACATGAAAACAACATTCACCTCCTTCTGCGTCCCTAGCAGAGCTCTTTAGGTGACCACGTGCACTGTCAATGAGCAGTAATGTTTTTTTTTTCCTTTTGTTTTAGGAGACATGAGAAGAAGTACTTTCCCTGTATCAGCAATAAGTCTGTTTCACTTTCTTGTCATTCCTGTGTACACTGGAGTTGTACTTTTATTTCCTTCAAGAACTTTTTCTTTGCACAAGAAGCCTTGTTTGGCACAAGAAGCCTAGCTTAAGCTTTCAATGTGCCTTCCTCACTAAGCTTAATCATTTCTAGCTTTTTCTTTCTTTTTCTTTTTTTGAGACAGAGTCTTACTCTGTCACCCTGGGTAGAGTGCCATGGCATCATCAGAGCTCATAGCAATCTCAAACTCTTGGGCACAAGTGATCTTCTTGCCTCAGTTTTTCTATTTTTAGTAGAGATGGGGCGGGGGGTGTCTCACTCTTGCTCAGGCTGTCTCGAACCCCTGAGTTCAAGCCATCCACCTGCCTCAGCCTCCCAGAGTGCTATGATTACAAGCATGAGCCGCTGCTCCTGGCCAAGTCTAGCTTTTGATTTAAAGTGAGAGATGTACCACTCCCTTGCTTTCATTTGAACACTGAGAGGCCATTTTAGGGTTAATAATTGGCCTAATTTCAAAATTATTGTGTTTCAGGGAAAGGCAAGGCCCAAGGAGGGAGAGAGACTGAGGAACGGCTAGTTAGTTGATAGAGCAGTCAGGACCCACCCTTTTATCACTTTAGTTTGCCTTCTTATATGGGCTTGGTTTGCAGCACCCCATAAGATTTACAATAATAACATCAATCATTACCACAGATCACCAGAACAAATACAGTAATAATTAAAACATTTTAAATATTTCAAGAATACGAAATATGACACAGACACACAAAGTGATCACACATTGGAAAAATGGCACCAATAGAGTTGCTGGATGCAGGGTTGCCACAAGTCAA